CCTTGTCACTGAGTGCCACGGCCAGGCCTTCCTGGGACACCTCCAGGGCTGGGCACTCCAAACCTCCCTGGGCAGCCCCTGCCAGTGCCTGACCACCCTTTCCAGCAGGAAATTCCTCCTCCTGTCCAACCTGAGCCTCCCCTGGCCCAGCTGGAGGCCGTTCCCTCTCCTCCTGTCCCTCGTTCCCTGGGAATTGGGGACCCCTAAGTCCTCCTGAAACTTCCTTCCAGGAAACTGTGGGGAGCTGGGACACTCCCAGGATGGCACAGAATCCTTAGGGATGGCTCAGGTTGGAAAAACCCTTGGAGATCACGGAATCCAAGCATTCCCTGCACTGCCCAGGCCACCCCTGACCCGTGTCCCCAAGGGCCACATCCACAGGGATCTGAGATCCCTCCGGGAATGGTGACTCCACCCATGCCCTGGGAAGTTCATTCCAGGGCCTGACAGCCCTTTCCATGCGGGAATTGTTCCCAATATCCCACCTGTGCCTCCCCTGGCCCAGCTGGAGGCCGTTCCCTCTCCTCCTGTCCCTTGTTCCCTGGGATCAGAGCCCGACCCCTCCCCAGCACCCCCTCCTGTCAGGGAGTTGTGGGGCAGGAAAAGGTTCCCCCCTGAGCCTCCTGTTTTTCCAGGGAAGTTTTTCAGGGAAATCAGGGATTGGACAGATCAGGGCACAGCCCAAGGGCACTCAAGTCTCCCATGGAGTAATTCCCCACTCTGGGCTCCAAGGAAGAAGAACCTCCCACCGGTGCCTCTCCCAACCCGGCTCTGCTCTCCCACCTCTGCCCCTGGATTTTGGGGTTGGGGTGGGCGGGGGGGACCCTCCAGTTCTCGCCCATCAGTGGCAACTCATTTTTTTTGGAAGGGGCCAACTGCTCCTGGGTGTCTTTGCTTCCTGGGATTGCACGGAGGGCTCGGGACAGGGTGGGACAGGGCTCGGTTTTCCTGAGGTCCAACGAGCCCGGGAGACCCTTCCAGCGCCCCAGAGCCTCTCTGGGTGGCCACCAGCCGTGCCCAGGGGTGGGGAAGGAGCCCGGGGTATTTTGGGAACTCTGCCAAAGGGAAGGAGGCACCCCGGTATCCCCCACTCCAGCTTTACCCTTGTCCCCTTCGTTGGAGATCTTCCTCAGGTCGATGAAGTGGGTCCCGATGGCCACGTCGTTGACCTTGTCCGAGTCCCGGATCTGGACCTTGATCCTCTTGCACAGGGGGGGGAACATCTCGGTGAACACGATCTGCTCGTTCCACAGGGGCTCGTAGCTGCTCTTCTGGATGGAGGTCTTGCCCTGCAGGCAAACCAGGGGACATCACACACATCCCAACATCCCCAGGCAAACCAGGGCACACCACACACATCCCAACATCTCCAGGCAAACCAGGGGACACCACACACATCCCAACATCTCCAGGCAAACCAGGGGACACCACACACATCCCAACATCTCCAGGCAAACCAGGGGACACCACACACATCCCAACATCTCCAGGCAAACCAGGGGACACCACACACATCCCA